ACTATTTTTGGAAGCCCAGTTTATGAAGTAAATAGAGGAGAGCTGCCAGGCTAGGGTGAGGGTGAATGAGGTGGAGGGCACAGAGCTCCTCGCCCACTTGTCTTCCCATCGCTATTTGGAAACCTTAGTGTGTCAGGCAGGGTGTGGGCATACCTTGCACATTTAAGTAAGTGGCATCATTATGGGCACAAACTGCCCAGGCAGCTTTCATGTGGGCCTGAAAACCCCACTCACTGGGATGATAATTTTTCCTCATCTTGGTTGAAAAGCCCAGAGTCCACAGGTGAGAGCAGACTGTGGTGGATCTGGTGGCTGTCCCTTGGCTCTGTGCTGGCCTGTGATGGGGATTTCATGGTCCACAAACAAATGAAGAAAATAAAGTCATTTGGTGAGATTTCCATGAAGTTAGGCTTATTCAAACATTTCTCTTTTGGCTCTGAAATGTCTTTTCTTTCATGAAATTCTGGTGGTAATGATTGACAATTTTGTGTGTGTGTGTCTGAAAGTCTTAGCAACCTAAATAAAAAGTTAGCAACTTTATGTTGTTCCCCCAAATTTGTTCCAAAATTTTACGGATTCATGAAATCCTGAAGTCTAGAGATGACTATTTTGGTCCATTGTGGAGTCTTGGCCAGGACTTCCCTGGAACAATCCCAGAAAGATAGCAAGTTCCATTCTTGTGCTGGTGAGTTTGGAAACCTCTGTCCTTTGATGAAATTGCAGCGGTTCTTCCAAGGCTGTTAGTAGATGGAGCCTCTCCTGGGGGCTGTGGTCACCTTCTCATTGAGACTCTTGCAATGTTCTGTTATCAAATCTCTACTGTTCTTAACTGGGGGAATACTGCTTCTTTGGACCAGCCTGGGGCAAACATGGCACCACACCATTCTCTTGATGTCCTACAACCTGAGACTAGGAAGGAACTTGCAAACAGGATTTGGCTAAAGGCTTGCAATTTGCTTAAAGGAAATGAGTGCAAAGATAATATAAGGCTAGACAGTGGGGTTTACAAACTCCGCAGCTCACAGTCTCCACTCCATCCTAGCTGCCTGTGCCCTTCTACGTGGCGATGGCAGTGACAACCAGCTGGAGACCACCAGGGAGCCAGAGCTGAGCCAAGAACCTGCAGCCCTCCACACAGTGACAGCCTCTCTCGCTTCTCACCTCTGAGGATTAGGCTGGGACTTATAAAGGGAGATATCAACCTCCTTATATGGATGCTTTAGGAATAAGAGGCAGGACCTATAAAAAAAAAACAAAACAAAACTGGGAGCATCCTCCTTTACTCCACTACGAGCCTCACAGAATGCAGGACTTTTTGACTTCTGTCATTTAACCCCCAATCCCCATTAACAGCAGTAGGTGACAATGAATTGGGCTCACAGGACTCCGGTTGTTAAAAATGTGTTGACACCAGGTTAGACACTTGGCCCTGTTTATATATAAGGACACTTGGACAGCAATGACATTTTTTTCTGGAGTCTATTTCCCTTAAAGAAGAATTTTAAGTGGTGCAGTCACATTTTCTTATTTGCTTGGGGAGATGTGTTTAGTCCAAACTGTAGCTAACTCCTTTTTTCTTCCTTGTTCCTGCAATTTAAAAATTCTGGCATATGTTCCTACTTTGACCATTCACTTGTATTTGTGAAATAATTGCACAGTCTCACTTCTCTTCATCTTCACACCAACGCTATGAGGTGAGTATTGCTATTCTGTTTCAGTGATGAGGATTCTGAGGCTCAGGGGAGCTAAGTGACTGGCTCAAGGCCGTGCTGCTAGTAAGAGGCAGAACTGACATCTGTCTGGCCCAGTCCCAACCCCTCTCCTCTGTACAGCCAGGTCCTGTCTGTGATTAGGGAATGCATGGTTTGTTTATTTGGTTTTCTTCTCTGCAAAACTACCCCACTGGCCCTTATGGGATTTGAACCCTGGGATCTTGGTGCCATGAGCTGTGAGCACCAATTAGAGAAAAAAACTGACAGCAGCAATAACATAACAATGATAACAAACCACCAAGAAAGAACACTTGGCGTGTCCATCCTGACCAGACTGGAGAGCTCTTTGTCAGGGTCAAGTTCAGAAAAGTGGCAGTGGTCTGGGTAGAACATGAGCTACTCTTTTCACCTCTCTGGGATGCTCTGTGGCACTGCCACTAACCTGAGCATGGCACCAGCCTGGTACCCAGGACAAGGCTCCCAGTGAGCCAGCAGCTCAGCCACCTCTCTCTCCCTGGTGCTTTCTTGGAAGCCCTTGGAGAGAGTTTGCTTTCTTTTTTGTTTTTTGTTTTTTTGTTTTTTTGTTTTTTTGAGATTGAGTCTCACTCTATCGCCCAGGCTGGAGTACAGTGGGGTGATTTTGGCTCACTGCAACCTCCACCTCCCGGGTTCAAGCGATTCTCGTGCCTCAGCCTCCCCAGTAGCTGGGACTACAGGCATGTGCCACCAAGCCCGGCTAATTTTTATATTTTTTGATGGGGTTTCTCTCTGTTGGTCAGGCCGGTCTCAAACTCCTGACCTCAGGTAATCCACCTGTCTCAGCCTCCCAAAGTGCTGGGATTATAGGTGTGAACCACTGCGCCAGGCCAGTCCTAGTTTGCCTTCTGCCAGGAAAGCATAAGGAGTTTGCTCATGGCCTGGGCACTGAGGGCTGACAGAACTGGGGTGGAGATGGGGGAGGGAGAGAATCCCAGGGCCTTATCCCACTTGGGCAAGGAAACCAGTGGGGAGGCTTGGCATGGGACCTACTGGGGGAAGGGATGCCCCTGAGGCCTGAGCAGAGGCTTCCAGGTTGAGCTCCCACTGGAGTCTGGGCTGGTTGTCGGGTGGCACAGGACACAGGCTGTGGATCAGGCCCTGGGTTGGCATCCTGGTGTCCCGATTTAGCTCTTGTATAACCTTGGGCAAGGACTGAACCTCTCTCAGCTTTGAAGTCTGCAATATACTTACACCCACCACAGTCCAGACACTGTCGTATACACAGTGGTTCATAGACATTGTGACAATGACAGAGTATTTACAACAGAGGCTGCCTTTTAGAACAGCCTGCCCAATAATAAACATCAAGAGAATGTGTCCAAATGTACGAGACAATTCAAGCAGTTAAGATGTCAAAGGACGTGAGCGGAGGATTTTCCCAAGTGGTAAATAAATACCTGAAATATTTCAACCTCAAAAATAATTTTTTAAAAGAGGGGGGAGGTGAAAAGAACGTTGAAGTACCACTTTGTGCGTATTCAAAGCTAGCAAAGTATTAAAAATTAATAATATGCTGTGCTGGCAAGGTTGTGCTCTAAGTGGTTCATTTATATATTTGGATGCAAGCCTTTCAGAAAGCAATACACCACTGCGTGCCTACAGACATAAATGTTTGTAACCTTTGATACAGTCATTCTAGCCCCAGGAATTCATCCTAAAGTTTTCGTTTCGTTTTGTTTTGCTTTTTCGAGACGGAGTCTCACTCTGTTGCCCAGGCTGGAGTGCGGTGGCACGATCTTGGCTCACTGCATCCTCCACTTCCTAGGTTCAAACGATTCTTAGCCTCAGCCTCCCAAGTACCTGGGACTGCAGGCATGCACCACCACACCCAGCTAATTTTTGTATTTTTAGTAGAGATGGTGTTTCACCGTGTTGACCAGGCTGATCTCGAACTCCTGGCCTCAAGTGATCCACCTGCCTCGACCTCCCGAAGTGCTGGGATTACAGGCGTGAGCCACCATGCCCAGCCTCATCCTAAAGTTTTAATCCTTCAAAATGTTTCCTATAACATTTTTTCAAACATACAAAATAGAACAGTACAACAAATCCCCCTGTACTAAAGGAATATTTTAACAGAAGACAAAGTCATATAGGTAAGGATGTACATATTTAAAACTTAAAAACAGGCCAAGTGCAGTGGCTCACGCCTGTAATCCCAACACTTTGGGAGGCCAAGGTGGGTGGATCACCTGTGGCCAGGAGTTCGAGACAAGCCTGGCCAACATGGCAAAACCTTGTCTCTACTAAAAATACAAAAAATTAACCGGGAGTGGTGGCGGGCTCCTGTAATCCCAGCTACTAGCGAGGCTGAGGCAGGAGAATTGCTTGAACCCAGGAGGCAGAGGCTGCAGTGAGCTGAGATCGCGCCATTGCACTCTAGCCTGGGCAACGAGAGCAAAACTCAGTCTCAAAAACAAAAACAAACAAACAAAAAACTTTTTAAAAAATCTAAATATGTAACAGGTAAATGTCTGAATAAGTTGTGATTCATCTTTAGCTGGACTATCATGTAGCGATGAACGTGACAAATATGACGAATTGTGTAAACTGTGATCTAATGTTAAGTGAAAAATGGAATTTAAAATTGTATCTCTAGGTTATGACAATAGTGTAAAATCATATATGTGAGCGAAGGTTGAAAGAAAATATGCAAAAGTATTTGCTGGGTCAGGATGGGAGATGATGAATTCGTGTTTTTCTCTTTGAATATTGTTGTTATATTATTCTTACAATAAAAATAAATGAGAGGGAGATTCTAGGCTCTGCTCTGAATCAATCTGTGAAGGTGTGTTTGTTGGGCACCTCTTCTACAGGTAATTCATATTAAGGGATATATTAAGAAGTGGTAGGGAGTATGTACAGGACTTGGTTTCAGGGCAGGGGCTGGTCTGTAGTGGGTTCTCAAAGACCCCCGGAATGTCAGAGCTCCATGAGGACATCTAACACCCCCATTTTGCAGTTAAGGGTCCTGGGGCCCAGAAGGGCTGAGTGATTTGCCTGGAATAACCCACCAAAAGCCTGGTGATTCCACATAGGGGTTGGTATTTCTACAAAACTAGCCGGCAGGCCTTTGGATCAGTCCTTCTGCCTCGGGGCACGTTCATGTCCGGGAGTCAGCCATACATGGTTGAGAAGGCAGCCAGAGAGCATTGTTCTTGTGCAAAGGCAGGGAGTGGGTGGCTGGATGAGGAGTGGCACAGACACACTGTTCCCAGGGTGCAAACCCCCATGCCGCGGTTGTCTCCACAGGACCCTGAGTGACCTCAGCCAGACCCACCCTTCCCAGCAGCACGTGGGGTTGTCCCGCACCGTCCGACTTCACCCGACTGCCACGGTCAGTAGCCAGCTCTCTTCCAACGCCCTGCCCCCGGGACCAGGCCTTGAGCAGAGAGATGGCACCCAGCAGGCGGTACCTCTGGAGCACCCCTCATCCCCCTGGGGTAAGGATGCCCTGTCTTGGGTCCTAGAAGAGCAGGGCCTCTAGAACTCTCTTCTCCCACCTCAGCTTTCCCCCTCTGCTCTCACAGAGGGGCTGAGTTGTCACCTTGTCCTCATTCTTTCAGCCAACCAACAAACGCTTCTTGATCTCCTGCTTTGTGCCGGGCTCCAGGGGTCCCAAACCAGTGGACCTGGACTTCACCCCTGTTGCAACCCTTAGACCTAGACTGCTCTATTTCTGCCCAATCTATCATCCCCTCCTGCCTTTGCTTCCCTCGTATCCCACTGTGATCCTCAACTCCCTGGTCCCGGTCCTTCCACCTCATCCCTCCTGCAAACCCCAACCCTCCTGGATCAACCCAACCAGTTGTTTCCTCAGCACCTACAGCTGCGCCTCTGCTTCCCACAGGAGGAAACAGAATCTCTGTGGATTCACGCCATGGCACACTCTTTTTGTTGCCTGATGACCCCTCCCTGTGTGCCTGGACATTTTCTCCCTCCATTTCTCAGAGCAGCTACTCCAGGCCTCCCCTCCCCTCCCCTCCTTTCCCAGGGCCCCATCTGTCAGCCCACGGACATGCCCCCACCTCCCAGAGAGCTCCTCAACTTCCTGCCTGTCACACACACCACTCCTGTGTCTACATCTGTGCCTGAGCTCACCTCCTTCCTTTATTTCCATTTTAAAAATCGAAGTGGAATTCACATAACATAAAATTAACCATTTTAAAGGCTACACTTCAGTGGCTTTTAGTATATTTATAATTGTGTGCAACCATCACCACTATTTCATTCCACAACATTTTTATTACTCCAAATAGAAACCTTGTACCCATTAAGCAGCAGTCACTCTTTATCTCCCCTCCTGTCCCTGGCAACCACTCACCTACTTCCCGTCTCTATAGATTTGCATACCCTCGACATTTCACATGAATGGAGTCATACAATGTGCCATGTTTTGTGTCTGGCTTCCTTCACTTAGCATTACATTTTCTTTTCTTTTCTTTTTCTTTTTTAAGAGACAGAGTCTTGCTCTGTTGCCCAGTCTCGAGTGTGGTGACATGATCACAACTCACTATAAGCTGGAACTCCTGAGCTCAAGTGATCCTCCCACCTCAGCCTCCAGAGTAGCTGGGATTACAGGCATGCACCGCCATGCCCGGCTAATTTTTAAATGTTTTGTAGAGATGGGTCTTGCCATGTTGCCCAGGCTGGTCTCGAACTCCTGGCCTCAAGTGATCCTCCTGCCTCGGCTTCCCAAAGTACTGGGATTGCAGGCGCGAGTTCCCGTGCCTGACTTAGCATAACGTTTCTGAGGTTTATCCATGTGGCAGCGTGTATCAGTGCTTCATTCCTTTTCATGGTTGATGATTCCTTTCATGCCATCTTGAGAGGGAGGTGTCCCTCTTATCTAAGGCACACTCTGGCACCCTTTCTCATTTCCTCTGGAATGCTGACATCACTTGTCCCCCGACTTCTGTATCTTCACCCTGTCCCTCCTTCTCAGCCCTTTCCCCTCGGCAGGTACAATTGCTTACAGCTCTCTCATTCACAGACACACACACACACACACACACACACACTTGTTTCTCCGCTTCCTTCCTATCTCTTCCCTTCACAGTCAAGCTTCTCAAACCCATGATCAACACATATTTTTTCAACTTCCTCCCCTCCCATTTCTCCCTCAACCTTCTGCCTCTGGCTTCTGTCCCCAGGCTGCCCATACTGAATTAATACCCCAATTCCATTGCCACCACTCTTGGTAAATGAAGCAACCTCAGCTTGCACTGCTGCCATGACTTCCCAAGTGATCACCCCGCCTCTGGAGCCCCCTGCACATCACAGCCAGCATGGTGTCTTGCTTAAAAGTCTTTGGCAGCTTCCCCCACCACCCACCAAATAAAGTGCCTGATCCTTGTTCTGGTAATCAGGTCCCCTCCAAAACCTGACTGTAATCCTTTCAGGCTTCATCTTCTTCTCTTCTCTTAGAAAACTCTCCTTTCTGGCAAGCCTGAGCCGCATTCTGTTCCCTGCCCTTGGGTTCAAAGCCCAGCTGCATCACTTGCTAGCTGCGTCACCTGGGCACCCAAACTTCTCTGGGCCTCAGTTTTCTTAGCTGTAAAATGGACATAGTAGGTTGGATGTATGAAAAATACCAACACTCAGCCATTAGGAACCTACAAAAATGGCAATTTCTAATAGTTCAACCTAACATACTACCCACTCAAGAGGGTTGATGTGCATGAAGTGTGAGCTTGGTGGCTGGCACATCTGCGAGCTTCTCAAAGGTATCACCCTGCCCCTACGATGGGACCCTGCATCCAGTAGGTACTCAGCAAATGCCCTTGAGATGAATGCAGCCCTAGTCCCATGGGGCTTTCTAACCAGACTCTGGAGGTCACAGCTGTGCCTCTCAGCCCTGCCCCCTGGACCCAAGCCCTCTCTCTGCAGGGCTGAACCTCACGGAGAAAATCAAGAAGATCAAGATCGTCTTCACTCCCACCATCTGCAAGCAGACCTGTGCCCGTGGACACTGTGCCAACAGCTGTGAGAGGGGCGACACCACCACCCTGTACAGCCAGGGCGGCCATGGGCACGATCCCAAGTCTGGCTTCCGCATCTGTGAGTCCCTTTCCCGTTCAGATGGTTCCCAGCTGGCCCCGGAGGGTGAATAGCCAGAGAGCCAGGTCTGCCTTGAACGGGAGCCCGCTGCTCCCAAACTGTGGCTCCACAAGTGTCCCAAATCACATGGGGAGCTGAGTCCTCACTTGGCAGCCTAGCTGTGTAACTCTAGGAGTCACATAACCTCTCTGAGTCCAAGTTTCCTCAACAGAGAAGAGACAGTTCATGATAATGCCACCTCCCAGGTTATTGTGGGGTACAGGGAAAGGCCTAAACGGGCTTTTTAGGAAGGCAGGGACTGGTTATTATCCACCCTTCTTCACTCTACATGAATGCAGTGGAAAGTCCCTACATTTCAGGGGGCTCCAGGCTACAGGAGCCATTTAGGGTCAGGGTTCTGCTGCCCATTTCTCTGTGGTGGTCACCAGCCACAGAACAGGTGCTACTGTTCTTCCACCGCTGCTTACCTTGACGGTTGATGTTGCAGATTTCTGCCAGATCCCCTGCCTGAACGGAGGCCGCTGCATCGGCAGGGACGAGTGCTGGTGCCCCGCCAACTCCACCGGGAAGTTCTGCCACCTGCCTATCCCGCAGCCGGACAGGGAGCCTCCAGGGAGGGGGTCCCGCTCCAGAGCCCTGCTGGAAGCCCCCCTGAGGCAGTCCACTTTCACACTGCCACTCTCCAACCAGCTGGGTGAGTGCCAGCACAGCTGGGCCAGCGGGACCCTGGGAGGAGTACCAGTTGGGTGGAGGCTGTCACCATTGCTGTGACAGGGACAGGGAAGCTGCCTATAGTCCTTCCTCTTTTTTTTGAGACGGAGTCTCGCTCTGTCGCCCAGGCTGGAGTGCAGTGGCCAGATCTCAGCTCACTGCAAGCTCCGCCTCCTGGGTTCATGCCATTCTCCTGCCTCAGCCTCCCGAGTAGCTGGGACTACAGGCGCCTGCCACCTCGCCCGTCTAGTTTTTTGTATTTTTTAGTAGAGACGGGGTTTCACCGTGTTAGCCAGGATGGTCTCGATCTCCTGACCTCGTGATGCGCCGCCCGTCTCGGCCTCCCAAAGTGCTGGGATTACAGGCTTGAGCCACTGCGCCCGGCCTAGTCCTTCCTTTACCATCAAACCTCCCTCTTTCTCCTGGCCCTCAGTGCTGAGTTTCATTCCCTCAACTTCTCGGCCCCCTCCCATCGGAATTCATCCACTTGTTTTTGCCCTTTCCCTGTGTTGGGTACCTTGGGGAAGACAAAACAGTGTAAGGGCAGGGTGCTGCCCTCAAGGAACCCATGGACCTGGGTAATAGAGGGAGAATGGATGGGAAATAGAATATCAGCATAAAACATTTCATTTTCCCTGCCTTCCATTATTAGGTACCAAAAAAATGCAGAATGCTTTAGGGGATCAGGGGATGGAGAGGCGCCTAAGCCCAGAGTGCTCTGGCACAGCTGCATGGAGGGGATGGACTGCAGTTAGGCCTGAAACAATGGGTAGCATCTGGTTAAGCAGAGGGACTGGCATGAGCAAAGGCACGGAGGTGGGGCCATGCAGGAGCCAGGGGGCTGGAGCTCCAGGGTTGGCAAGGGTCATGGGGGAGGTGGAATCAGGAAGGTAGCTTAGAACATGATAATGAGGCTCCTTCAGGGACACAGTTTGCACTTCATCCCGTCCCAAGGGATCATTCTGGGATTCTAACTTGGGAGCAAGGAAATGGAAGGAGAGTTTTAGGGTGACACATAGCCAGTGGCCTGCCTGGCCCAGGGGTGGTGGATACCCTTCAGAGGGTTGAAAATGAGGGTGGGGCCCTGCTTCCCTGGCTCTGACCCCAGCCCCTGTGCCCAGCCTCTGTGAACCCCTCCTTGGTGAAGGTGCACATTCACCACCCGCCCGAGGCCTCAGTGCAGATCCACCAGGTGGCCCGGGTGCGGGGCGGGGTGGAGGAGGCCCTAGAGGAGAACAGCGTGGAGACCAGACCCCCGCCCTGGCTGCCTGCCAGCCCTGGCCACAGCCTCTGGGACAGCAACAACATCCCAGCTCGGTCTGGAGAGCCCCCTCGGCCACTGCCCCCAGCAGCACCCAGGCCTCGAGGACTGCTGGGCCGGTGTTACCTGAACACTGTGAACGGACAGGTGAGAACACAGCTCTAGCCTCAGCCCTGAATGCTTCCAGGACAGCAATTGTCCCCAGTCTGCCCTTCTCCTCCTCTCTGTCCTCTTTGTTCTTACGGAATGTGAGTGTCTGCAGAGTCTCCCATTTCCCAGATGGGAAAACCCAAGGCATGAAATTGCCCATGTATGGAGAGGCTGGGCCTCCTTCCTGGGCTCTACTTGGTGCTTGTCAATACCAGGCACACAGAAGAGGACCCAAGGAAGTTCCCCTCTGGAGGAGCTGTCACCAGCATCCTCAGGTGAAGGCAGCCTCGAGTTGCTGATCCTATGACCCCTGGCACATGGACCAGTGGGGCTGTTAGCATCTGGCCAGGAGTTTTGTATCTAGTTGAGGCTACAGTTGGGGTCACAGAGGTGTGGAATTAACAAATGGAGGTTAACCCAAAAACCCTGGTGGTACAAAGATGAGAGATACCCTATTGCCCCCTGGGGCCATCCTCAGCTCATAATGGGAAATCAGGGAAGCTTTTCTGACGCCAGGCACCCAAGAATAGGGGTTAGACCAGGCCCAGTATGGTTTTTCTTGGGGTTGCCAGGAAACCGCTTAGTTTCCAGAAACTAAGGTATTTCCAGAAACCCCATTTGAGGTTAGGGAACTGGAGGAAGTGGGACAGCCAAGGGGTAAACACCCTGAATTTCCAGATAGTCCCTGGCCTCTCAGCTTGGGGTATTCCTGAACCTGGGGCAGTGCTCACAAGGAAGGCCCACACTGTGGGTGACCCTGCGGCTCCCTGGAGGTAGGCAGAGGAAGCTCTTCCTTTAGGACCCTTTGTCTGTGGCTAGGGCCATGGAGGGTGGTGGTTTGCAGCCCCGCACAGGGCGGATCTTGTGTCTGCGGTGTCCCATCCACACACAAGGTTAGGGGCTGGGAGAGTGCACGGCAGGTTTCTCTGCTGCCTTCTGGGATATGGGCTGACTTGTTTCTCCCCTTCTTTGGCTGGGGACATCCTCTGGCAGAATGTGGGGAGTGAGCTCTGTGTCCTAGGCTTTCCCGGGACATCTCTGTGCACAGCCTGGGAGGGAAGAGGGGTGGTCACAGGTGTCCATGATCTCTCTTCCAGTGTGCCAACCCTCTGCTGGAGCTGACCACCCAAGAGGACTGCTGTGGCAGTGTGGGAGCCTTCTGGGGGGTGACTTTGTGTGCCCCATGCCCACCCAGACCCGGTGAGTGCTGGAGTCCAAGGTTAAGAGTGGCGGGGGAAGCCCTCCCCGTGCCTGCCCTCTCCTGCCAGGGTTTCCCCTCCAGGGTGTCAGAGGCCAGGCAGGTAGAACAGGCTGGTAAACTGCAGACTTCCCAGACCTGCTTTGAAGGTGTTTCTGGCCAGCACTGAGGCTCCTGGCAGCCCTCTGCTGGTGCAGTCTGGCCTGCCTGCTCCATTTGGTTGCCTGCAAGGGCCTGCTCCCTCTTGCAGAGATTCTTGATCAGATTTTAGGGATTTTATTCAGTGCTCCCCTGTACACCCCTGTCTAGATGCCAGGGGTCCAGGGGTCTTGATTTGATTCAGTGTTTTCTTTATTCTCTCCCTGGTGGGGCTCCCAGGCCTCCTCTTTTATCTCCTTACCTCCTGTTCCAGCCTCCCTGACTTTTAATTAGGATTGAATGTCTGTCCTAGATGTCCTCATCCTTGGGGTATGGGAACCCTAATTCCTTGCCTTCTTTTGGAGGATAGGAAAAACCTAACATGTGTTCATTCATTCATTCAGCAAATACTCACTGGGTGTCTTGTATGTGCCATGGACCGTGATTTCAGGAGTGAGCAAGATGCCTGTTCACGATGCTCTCCCCAGTCTTAGTTGCACAGTTGGGAGGAGGGTGACCAGATGCCTGTCCCTGAGTGTGGCTTCTGCCCACTTGGTCTGTCTTCTCCCTTCAGGCCTCCTTCCTGGGCCTGGGTGTGAGCCTGGTGTGTATTTCCTTTGCCTGTCAGCAGTCAGCTTGGTCAATCAGCTTTGTCAGGAGTCTGGACAGGAGCCCAAAGGTGGGAGGGGCAGGGCTGTTCCTCACATCAGACTCAGCTGTGGAGCAGTGACTATATTTTCCAAACTTAAAATAAGTGTAGACGGTTTTACAATGTGATAGAATTTTTGGCAAAGTAGCAAAAGGTAGTATTCAGCTCCCAGGCTTAAACGTCTAACACATACTAGGTACCAGTCCCAGCTCCTCGTGATCACCTCTCTCTGTGTCAGTCTCCTGATCTGTAAAATGGAGAGAGTAATAGTGCCAGCCTCATGGGCTGCTGTAGAGATTAAATGAAATGATGCACCTGCTTAGTATTAGGTCAATAAACCTGGCTGTTATTGTCATTTTCATTATTGTTATTAGAAAGTATCCCTCAAGAAAGCGAGAAAGGAATGGACCCACTACCCTACCAGGAAATGTACCTCAAACTGCCCAGGTCTCCCCTGTAGGCCAGAGATGTTTTTGCCACTTTTCTTCTTTCCTTGTTTTCTTTTCTGTTTCCCATCAGGCGTTGAACCCTTGAAACTTCTATATCCCACATTCTAATCAGTTGACAAATATTTACATTGACCAAACCACTATTTGAAAAGGCCATAGTGTGCAGGCCCTGGACAGAGAGTAGAGAAGGTGGTAAAAACCGCGCCTTCCTCTCCAAGCTCACAATTTAGCAGGGAGTCATAGGTGGCTGGTGGGCATCAGAAATGAAGAGGTTTGAGCAGTGTCTGGTCAAGTGCCGAGGCAGTGGAACCCAGGCCCCTCATAGGTCCAGTAGCACCTTTGTGCAAATTAGAAAAACCTGCCCTTCTGTTTGTTCAGGATCATCTTCATAAATATGCCAATCTAGGATGCCAATGATTCCCTTAGAGATGGTGCTTTTGTGCAGCACACAACCTGCACATCTGTAAACTACAGGATGGGGGCCCTACGGGCTAAAGCTGGTGGATCAGGGAAAGCTTCTCAGAGATGACTTCCAGGATGAGATTTGAAGAATAATTAGGGGTAGGACAGTTAAAGAGTGAGGAAGAGTTTAACAACCCAAGGAAATTGCATATGCAGGCAAGTCCACGAGAGTGAGCAACATTTTCTGGAGCACAGTGTGTCTCTTGCTGAGCCCTGCTCAGCCCTGGCTCTCCTGTAGAAAGGCAGGCATGTCAGAAGGGTTAGGTGGGGCCAGGGCTCCCACATCCCTGCTCTAGGCAGGTTCTGGTTCCCAAGAGCTGGCTCAGTCAGACAAGTGGGTGAGGGTCTCTCCCCCTTTACCCCATCAGCCCTCTGAGGGGCATGCAGTACCTGCTGCGCTGACCAAGGTGCTGACCTACCCTGGGACCTCCTGACCCAGTAGGGCTGTCCTAAGAGGGAGCTGGCTTTTCTAGGTGGTGGGAACAGTGAGATTTCATCCAAGTGGCAATTCAGGGGCAGACTTAGAAGTTTCCCTTCCTTGTCTCAGGGCTCATGAGCTGTCACACTGTTGCCTCTAGAGTCTGAAAAATAATGAAGGGGAAGAGTGGGCTCAGCTGCCAACAGCATGGGTATAAAGGAGTGGAGTGGTGCAGCTGAGAAACAGGCTTCCAGAAGGGCCTTCCCGAGAATCCCGCTTCACTGCTGGGATTCTCCTCCCAGCTGAGGTCTGTGCCCTTCATGGAACCTTCCACTGGGCAAGTCTTCAGGCCTTAAGGTGTGCTTGATTTGGGTACCAAGCATAATCCTGAGCTCTTGAGATGCAGCCCTCTGGGTGGGGTGTCAGCAGTCAGGACCCCACAGGGTCCTTGGGTCAGTATCTCCTCTCTAATTCACTAAGCCAATCTGACAGTGATGTTAATAGCCACATATCAGGTGACATTAGTGAAAATGAAAATAGAGCCACTCTGGATTCTTCACTTATATGTCACATCTGCCGCTTGTAGGATTGGAGCGGAGGGTGGGAGCACAGGGCCTGCCTGTCCCAAGCTCTGGAGCCCATCAGGGATGCAGAGAGGCAGGCTGTGAGGTCCATGCCAGGGCTGGCTGCTGCCAATGGAGGATTCTAGGCCTGTTCCCCTCAACCAGGGCTGACAGGCACAGTGACCACATCCCCAGATCTTGAAAGCACTTCTGAGAGTGGGGGAGCCCTCCACTGGAAGGGTGGGGAGCAGGAGAAAAAGGCCAGAGTCCATACTGAAGTGGCTACCTGCTCGGCCACTTGCTCCACTCCTGGTTCCACCTGTGTGCCAGCCTTGAGAGCTCAGCCCACCTGATGCCCAAGAACCCTGCTCCAAATACAGCTGGTGAGCTCGGTTCAGGCAGGGCTGGAGCCCAGTGGCGGTGGGCGTGGGAGCAGAGCTCTGTGGATCAGGTGCATGCAGAACACCAATTGTACCCCTCTGCCAACACACCCAACGCTCAGCCCTTGCCCTCACTCTGCCCCATCCCAGACGGTGGCCTCCCCCACTGTGTCCAGCACATCTCAGCATGCTGGGCACCAGGGTACAGACCCTGGAATGTCAAGCATCCCAGCACACTGAGCAAGAAATAACAAAGACCAGGGCAACATAAACATCAAAAACACATGAAAGTGCAGCTGGGCATTGTATAGAGACGGGGCAAGATGTTGGGGAGCCTTGTTTGTGTTGACAGAGTGCCAGGCACTTCACTTCATGCCTGAGCCTGGGGCTGGGGTGGGCACATTTCTTTAAGTGGGGATGACAAGGAAGCTTCTGTACAAGAAGCAGAGGAAGAAAAGGCAAGCTGTCAGGGCAGGTTTGGGGAAGGTTGGCAAGAAAGACAGGACTTCTGGATTCCAGATCGTCCCTGGCCCTGGTGGCTTTGCCTCTCTGAGCCCCTATTTCTCCTCTGATAAAATAGGGTTATGCTTCTTTGGGGGAAGCCTTTGTCATCCCCAGTGAGGTGTTCTAGCAAATCAGGTGGCAGTGGGAGTGATAGGGCGAGCAGCCTGCGAGTGGCTTCACGGCTTCCCTTCAGTCACATTTTGGCTTTGAGGCTCTGTGCTGGACTGTTGAAGAAGGTCCCACCAGAATGCCACTATTCCTGACATGGAAAAGGACTGCCTTGAAGTCTTAATTACGTGGCATAGGTGAATCCCTTTTTTTCCGGAATGCCACAGAACTTGCGTGGAGAGCTGGCCCGGGAGTCAGTCTAGACCAGCCCACAGTTCGCCTCTGCTCCCTTCACTCTGAGTGGTAGAGGTAACGTGTACTCAGCTGAACTCCCAGGACCTAGCCTGAGCCGGGTCTTCCTGACCCCTTGAGATTTATCAAAGGATCCCGACTCATAGGCCTCTTCAATCCTCCTGTCAGAGTCTGGAGAACACACGGCTCTCAAAAGCCACTTTGATTGAGGCCACATTTTTGAGTTTTCATCTGAGAAAGACAGACATCTGGGCTGACTGGAAAGTTGGCCACTGCCCCATCTGGCTTGGCACTGGCTGTGTCAACCCCAAGGCCCCTTTGCTGGGACAGGCAGGGCTGGCACATGGCTCGGGGCCTGCAGTGGTGGGCTCCAGCTGTTTGCCATGAGATCGTCTTGCCATTTGCCTGGGGTGGGTTGAGTTCACCTCTGAACCCAGGGCCCCCTGCATCTCCAGGGAGAACAGATTTTCTTGCTCTGCCCTTTCAAGGAACTCTGCACCTTTCTCTCTTAGACCAAGGCTAGCTGCCGGTTCCTGAACTTTCACATTATGCCGAGCCCTTCACCTGTTTTGTCTCACTGAATTTGTACAGCCACCTGCAAGCCCAGGATTTTTAACCCCATGTGACGGATGAGGAAAATAGAGCTCCGAGAAGGCTGAGGAACTTGTCCGAGGTCACACGTCTAGGGCAGGTAGAGCCAGGATTCCAACCACAGTATGTCTGACTCTCAGCTGAGCAAGATCTCCCTAATCATTCTGGGGAGACCTGAGCCTCCCTGAAGCAAACAAAGATCAGGATGCTAGACTGGAATGCTGCAGCCAAGAGGATGCGCATCAAGATCGGGTTTTGTGAGTTCCTTGTGCTATATCCGTCAAGAAGATTCAGGTTGGATAGACAGGCAGGTTATCAACATGTAGCCCCGGCCTGCGTCAAGAGAAATAATTGCCCTAGGGAGAAGGGTGTAGGCTTTCCCCACGCGGTTCTAGAGAGAACTATCCGATGTGTGGTGTTTCTGGTAACCAGAGCTCGACTTGAAACTGATCGCAAGGGACAACTTATTAAAAACTGCAGGTGCCCAG